TTGCTCGGAAACCCGTACCATGCCACTGTTGCCTTTGTTTACACTGCCTTGCTCCTCTGAAAATTATGAAAGTTTCCAGAACTGCTTTGAGTTTCCTTCTGAATGCTTTGGAGTGCCATCGGCCAGAACAAAAGGCCACAGGCCATGCGAATGGGATTATCGGCCAAAGATAATGTCATCGGCTGGACATTGATGGCCGGTCGGCACTAAAGATGGCCGGTCGGCCATTTGTTCCTACAGAATCCTGCAGTTGACAGCAGCAAAGGGCAAGCAGTGTATGGCATGAAATTTTCAAGCAAATGTATGCATGGCCACTCTCCCAATCATGTTATAGACTCAAGGGAGTGTGGCCCTCGACCCTCGGGCCATCAATTGCGTATTGCGATGCATGATGGCCTAAGAGGCCAAGTTTGCCATTCAATGTAAAATGAATGCATAAAAGAGATGAATGCCTCGTGCCCTATCATGTTGAAGTCAAGGGCATTGGCGACTGAGGAGTGAGACGTATTTCGTCACTTTGAGTACGAATACGCCTCTTCCTTCATGCCTGGTTTGACACCCCAAACCAAACAAAATGTTATGCATGGGTGCAATGTGGCTCAAGTATGTAAGATGGCTCGAGTATGCAAACATGCCAAATGTAATGCAAACTAAGCATATAAACATGCAATGTGCCAAGTATGCAAAATGCAATGTGATGCGACCTATCATACAATGCAAACATTGAACGGCAACATGATATAATGCAAGCATGCAACTAATGTAATGCAACGTGCAAACATGCAAAGTATGCAAAGATGGTCTTATACTGAAATGAGAGGGCCTCAGCCCATCCCAAAACAACGGCCAAAAGGGTGCAACAAAGGCACAAAACACACATGGAAACATGCATATACCAAGGCCTATCACCTAAGGCATAAAAGAGGCAATTCTAAGCATACTTAAAAGAGACAAACATGGGCATTTTACAAATATGCTGAGCTCTGAAATCATGCTAATAGGAGTGCCAAACCAAACATGCAAATGAAGCATAGCATGCAAAGGGGTCCAAAGCTTGAGACCAACCAAAGGACTCAAGCCATAACCATGCCAACTAACCCCCAAAGGGCCAAAGTGACTTAAATCAGTCCTAGGGCAGACCAAAATGGGGCTAGAACATGCACAGAACATGGTCAAAACATGCCAAGAAATGGGCCCAAAACAAAGGGCATTTAAGGCCACAAAAGGGAGCGCTCTACTACAACCACCCCAACCACACATAGCATGGACTATTCAACCAAAAACAGAGTTTCAATGCATCTAAATACACCCCCAAAATCCGCATGAATGACATCCCAAATGACTTAAACAAAAGGCATGCACTATAACCCATTTCTAGGCATAAAAGAACAACTCTTCAAGGCATGAAAGGGATGATGAATGCAAGCATACAAGCATGGATTAGGGACTGAAATAGCATGGGGAATGACTCCAAATTACTGAAATCACCCAACTAAAGCATGTTAATGACTCACACACTCAAGGCTCACAAGCCAAAATGCAAAGGGGCTATACAAAGCATGAAAGGTATGACCAAATCAATACCTAGCAGACCTTAAGCATGATGAAACATGACCAAAAGCTTCACAAAGCTAGGCAAAAACATGAGAGCATGGTAGGCTAAATGCATGATGCACTTCTAGGCAAAATAAGGGAATACAAAGAAAGTATATTAAGCATGCAAGGGGCCATTAATCCGACCAAAAACAGAGATATAATATGGCCAAATAACACCCAAAAACCTCTGAAATGAATCCAAAAGCAACTAAGCATACATGTTACCCTTATGAGCAAAAAATGCAAACAAAAGAGAGACAAAGGGAGAGGGGTGTCCCTCCCCTATGCAAGACCTCAAAACCCCTTTTTCACCACTGAAAATCCACTGGATTTCAGTGGTGAGAAGGTCAATACACAAAAGTCCCCAAAGCTTAACAAAGAGAGCACAAAAAGGTCCAAACAAGGCCTAAGAGGAGGAGGTCGACCCCCAACACTAAAATGACCTTAATGAAAGATCTTAAGCATGCAAATACAAGACTTTTTTCAGTTATACACAAAGTCTAAAACAGCATGAAAAGTGGGTTAAAAACTAGTGCAAGATTGGGAAATATAAAGCAAATAGTGTTACCCTTGAAGAACACTTGAAGAACAGTAACCTCAGCCTCTTCCTTATAATCAAACCAACTCAAAACTCCAAGAATAACCTCTCAACACCTCCCAAGTCGAAGTATGGTGTAATAGTAGGTGTTCTAGTGCAAAACTAAGAACAAACTACACTTTTAGGCCCTCAAACACATACAAATGAAGAGAGAGAGAGAGAGAGATATATATATATATATATATAGAGAGATAGTGATATATATCAAATATATATCATATAAGGTCTGGTTTTGCTGAACCCCCTTCAAAGGAGAGGGGAGGTCTCCTTATGTAGACAAGGTAATGACTCCAAGCTTCTTAGAGAAGCTAAAATAAAAGGGTCAAGGGGTTCAAGCTTCCAAGGGAAACTAACCCAAAGGTCCAAGCTTCTTGAGGAAGCTAAGACAAAGGGTCAAGCTTCCTCAAGAAGCTAGACCAAAAGAGGTCAAGCTTCCATGAGAAGCTTGAGTAAAAGGGTGACAAGGTTCAAAACAGCCACACACGTGTATGGGGGGGAGGGTCCGTGTACTCCAGCTGGCACAGCTGGCATGCACCATGCCTGAAAAAGGCAAAAAGGTGATACCGGCTAGAAAAGGAGGCCTTTGGCCAAACAGGTGGTCGGCCGGCCACACAAAATGCCGACCGGCCAATGGACTATTTGCCTCAAAACACGGCCGGTGGCCTCAAGCCATGGCCGGTGGGTATCAGGGGTAGCTAGCAAGCTACTCTCTACTCTTAGGTGCAAAAACAAACAAGTCCTTGGTGTAAAACCAAGCACAGAACAAGCAAGTCGAGAGATACTGAGGCAAGGTGCGTAGCCAAGACCTCCGGGAACTCAAAACAAACGCGAACATGGATGATCATCGAGTGTTCAAGCGGTGACGTCCAAGTCTTGAGGACGGTCGAAAATGGGGTGTCTACACACCTCTTTTTGTGTACCGTCGAGGCTCCGAAAGTTTGTCAAAAATAAGATTTCTCTCTCTCTCTCTCTCTCTCTCTCTTCCTTTCTTCGTCTATCTTCTATCTTCATGCTTTTTCTTTCCTCATTCCTTCCAACAACTATTCTCTTTTTTTCTCTTCCTTCATGGCTCTTCCCTCAAGCTTATGTTTTCTTCCCTTCTTGTAAGTCATATACCTTCATACTCGATAGCACCTCCACCGTCAGAGGTTCGGCGGCCACCATGAGTTCGCTGGAAGGGCCGTGAAGAAAAAAGAAAAAAGAGAATAATTGTGGAAATGAAGGAAATAAGAAGTATGGAGATAGGAGATAGAGGAGGGGAAAAAAGAGAAACAAATTATTTTTGGCTAACTTTTAGAGCTTTGACGACATGTAAAAAGGGGTGAAACAAGGCACATGAAGGGTGAAATGAAAATTAGGCCATGAGGTGAATCTAACAATGCAAAAATGAGATGAAACAGATTACGAAGAGCTTGAATATGTGGGTTTTAATATGAAAATTTGCCCAAAGAAGAGAAAAAATTATTTTTTGGCCAACGTTCGAAGTTTCGACAACACGCAAAAAGAGGTAGAACAAGGCATATGAGGGGTGGAGTGAATACTAGGCCATGAGATAAATCCAACAACACAAAAAATGAAGCAAAACAGAGTTACGATGAGAGAGATACAAAGGTTTCAACATGCAGATTTGAATATTTAAATTTTGTCCAAAAAGAGAAAAATCTTATTTTTGACCAACTTTCGGAGCTCTGACGGCATGCAAAAAGAGGTGGAACAAGGCGTATAAGGGGTGGCATGAAAATTAGGCTATGAGTTGAATCCAACAACGTAAAAATGAGGCAAAATAGAGTTACGGCAAGGGAGATACAAGTGTTTGAATCTAAAAATTTTGTTCAAATTATTTTAGTTCAGTCAAATGGTTATGGATGGAGAGTTCATATTGAAACACGGATGAAATTTCAAGGTTTAATTTGTCGAAATTGAAACCCCACGGTTTAAATTGAAAAACACACAAAACCCTGAGTTTTTTTTATAATTTGCCCAAAAATATATTAAAATTTAATATTTTCGTTACATTATTTAATTTTTAGAAAAGGTTCAGGGAATAGTACATTATTTTATAAGTTAGTGTATTCTTTTAAGGAATAATTACACCCAGTGAAATTTTAGAAAAAAAATTACATATTCATAAGAAACATTTATAATTTTAATTATTAAAATAAGACACAAATTGCTAATATTTAATTTTAAAAAGGACATTTACACATAAGTTCTAATTTATGAATTTATACTTCATTAAGTCAGAACTAAGATTTTTTAAACCTTCAAGTCTCATTAAAGTTTTAATAATTAGAATTGCCTTTCAAACAATGATTGTTCATCATTTATGATAATTTATAAAGGAACATGATGATTTGATATTTATTTTGATTTTCAAAAATTTAAAACATCAACTTTCAAATTGAATATATATATATATTATGTGCAAAAAAAAAAAAGCCATATGTTTTTTTTTTTTTTTGAAAAAATTAAATAAGTTGAATTATTTTTTGTGCAAAACTAAAAATTTTGTGGCTATAAAAAAGTATGATGGTGTAACATTGATGAATAAAACTGAAAAAAAATATGATAATTTTTTCTCAATTTTATTGAATAATTGGATAAAAGGGCAAAAATGTTTACTTTCATGGTCTGTTTTTTTCATTAGTTAGTGAAAGAATTATCTAAAATATTATTATGCAAAATTGAAAATATTCTTACTTTTAAAAATTGAAAAAAGCTAATAATATTTTCAGTTTTACTAAATATGACTTATTGGTTCAAAATTTTTTAAATATGACCCAAATCATCATAACATTTGTAAATATAACTTTTAAATAATTAATTCATTTTAAAATAATCAAACACCAGCACTCATCAATCTCAAGTCCTTTATCAGACGATCCAAATTACAATGTGATGATCCACCTTCACTAGTAGCTTTTCTAGCCAACTTGGCCATCCTTTTAGTCGATTGCACGAACTCACTTTTCCTCACCTCCATCAAATCCCTAATCATCTTCTCAACTACGATTCTGTCACAAGTGTCCTTCATGTCCATCCCAAGCTTCCACACCTCCCCAACATATCTACTATTCATCTGTTGGTCCGCAATGTAAGGCCAACATATCATCGGCACCCCAGCAACTATACTCTCTAAAGTTGAGTTCCATCCACTGTGAGTCAAAAAACCACCAATGGCTTGGTGATCCAATACCTCTTCTTGTGGGGCCCACTCGACCACGTGCCCCCTTTCCATCGTGGCCTCCAAGAGCTCGGTCGGGATCTGACCCACCCCACCTCCGTCAGAGACCAAGTCCGGCCGTATGACCCACAAGAACCGCTTCCCACTCTTTACTACACCATGCCAGAACTCCATCAACTGGGTCCTTGTAATCATTGCAAGGCTTCCAAAGCTTATGTAAATGACAGACTGCGAGGGTTGTGCATCCAGCCACATCATGCAGTTGTGATCTTCTTCCAACAGACTATCCGATGAGGTTGATGTCACTACCATTCTTGGCTTGTTGTGCGCGTGGAGTGGTCCAATGGTGTAGATGTTTGGCATGTGAATGCGTATGTGAGAGAGTATGGGTCCTTCTAGGTCGTCGAATGTGTTGAGAATGAGGGCTCGAGCTCGTGGTGTTTGCCGCGTTTCAGTCGATAGGAATTGAAATTTTTTGTTGCTCAAGTCACTAACACGACAATTAGCAGGAAGGTCACGCCGCCGGAGAAAATCTTCCATACCTGGTATGCTTTGTATTGGGACATCCAAATCGATTCCTACATATATGGGGATTATTAACTTGCAAGTTCATTTGGTGCCTAGGAAAATATAAACAACAATTTTACATGTGCAGAAAAAACACAGAAAAATTTGTGTTACTTAGATTTTGATTATAGTTTCTGTGTCTTCAATCTCATTCTTTGCACATTATTAAATTGTATCTAATTATTTGCAAGGACAAAATTGCCCTTCAAAAAGACAGATCCACCCATATTAGATCTCTTCTTGTTCCTTTAATGGGTGTTTTTTTTACCTTAATCTAAGAGTGGAGGAGACAACCCCTCCGTAATCTTCAAGGATAATTAGGGAAACTCTTCAGTTATGGGTGGTTTTTTCTTCAATTATGTTTGATTATTGTTTCTTTCAATGATACTTTATTCTTTATCTCCGAGTGGAGGAGGAAAGGTGAGAGTGAGATAAAACGGCAGCAAAAGAGAGAAAAACGAAGGTGAGGGAATAGCGTGGTACAAGTGGGATTGACAACTTTTTAAGGATAATTTTGTCCATTGGCGTGGATGGATCATTTTGTTCGTTCGTGACATTAATGTCACCATTTATTTAAAATCAATTTTTATGCCCTACTTAAAACCGCTTGTAAATTATTTTTTCAGGAAGAAAAAGAACACTCCATGAAGATATTATAGTATGAGTCTGGCTTCCGGCTGTTGGGCTCATGGGAGTCTATCACCGATTTCAGTTTGATAATTCGAACCGTCCAATGTGTATAACTCATCGAGTATTATATGTCTATAAAAAATCATATTGATCGGATATCGATAGCTATCTCATCAGATCAAATTTCTGTCGATCTTTTATTTTTTCACCATCCATTTTTTTTTTTTGTTCAAAACTGATTTGATCATATATAGCTATTGATATTCGATTAAAGTGATTTTTTACAAGTATATAATATTTGACAAGTTCTACATATTAAACGGTTCATATTATCGAAACGGGACCCATAGTGAGCCCTCACGAGTCCAACAACACCCTCAAGTATCGAATTGGAGGAAACCAGACCCTTATAGTATTTGTACATCCTGCCTCCGGATAACCGATTGACGATTAAATTTAACCAAACCCATAATAATAGAAACACAATGGATCTCATCCATACTTTATAACAAGCAACAGAGGGGCTGTTTGGTGCAGCCTAGGAAGTACAAATATGAATACAAGATATGGGTACAATACGATACGGATATGGCAAAATTTGAAAAACTAGGATACGAGTACGGCAGGGATACGTTCCTAAAAAATATTATTTTTATAATTTTTAGTAATGTAGCAGTAGTATGTATAAAAATAAAACGTAAAGCAAATTACTACAGATAATATGAAGAGATAAAGATAAATAAAATAAAATATATACATTTCAATATAAAAAAATATTAAAGTATTGTTTTTTATTAATATATTTAAGAATTTTTTTTTAATGAAAATGGGATTAAAATATTACGTGAATTAAAATGTTAAGAAAATCTAATATAATTATGTAAAATTTATAAGATTTATTATATTTTCTTTAAATCTCATAAGATGTCAATGTAATTCACCAAAGCATAAATTATGATGGATTTAAATGCCATCTCATATTTAAAATGTGTATTGATCATATTTAAAATTATAAATTCTACCATTTAGGTCAATTCAAATTTATATTTTATTCTCACAACACATAATGATCCTAAAGAAAGGAGACCATCCACAAGTCTTCTAAATACAAACAAAAATGTCTTCAGTGCCCCATAAAAAGGTTTAAAAATTCTACAAAAAGGAAAATTTGCATGCCGAGATGCCTTTTTCTTCACAAACACTTTAAATGATAGAGAGAGAGAGAGGGGTAGGTAGAGAGAGGGAGAGGGAGAGGGAAAGGGAGAGGACGGACCCTGATTGACTCCTTCTCCTCCTCCTCATTGTTGTTCGCGAATCGCAATAGAGACGACGACGATGACTTGCTTCTGTTCGAGTTTTTGTTGCTTTCAGGTAAGTGAGCTGGGGCTTGGTTGATTTATTTTATTTTAGATTACTTTTGTTATTTTACACTTTGACCCCATTATAAGTTTTTAAAATTATTTTTTTTCCCGCCGTATCCCGAAAATATCCCAAGTGTATCCCTGGATTATCTTTGTGTATCCCAAACATATTTGAAATTTAAAAAATTTAAAAAAAATTGGGATATTTTTTTGTCGTGTTTGAGACGTATCTCACCGTATCAAACGCGTATCCGTATCCGATACGTATCCGACACGCGTACAGGGGTCATTTCGGAGTATTCGTGCTTCATAGGGTGCAGCTTATTATAAGCTACAAGTTGATAATCAAAAGCACTCATTCCCTACCTTCTAAATAATCAGTTTTCCTCAACTTAATTAAGCTAGTTTTGCCTAAAGACTGTAAGTAAAAACTGCACCAAATTCTCAAATTAAAATAAATTAGAACTAGCCTATCACCCATCCAATGCACGGGATAATTATAAATATTTAGATTTGTTTTCGATTTTTTTTAATACATAAATTATGTTTTTTAAGATTTTTTATAAAAATAATTTAACAATAGGTCCAGCTTGTCTCAAGTTGAGATCAAGACTGGACCCGTTCAGTCCAGCCCATGGAGCCTATTTTCCGGGCCCTTTTTGATAATTTGAACCGTTCAATATGTAGAACTCGTCGAGTACTATATGCCTGTAAAAAAATCACGTTGATCGGATATCAATAGCTATGTGATCAAATCAGTTTTGTATAAAAAAATATGGACGGTGAAAAAATTAATGATTGATAAAAAAAACTATTTTGATCACATAGCTATCGATATCCGATCAACGTGATTTTTTATAGGCATATAGTACTCGACGAGTTCTACACATTGAACGGTTCGGATTATCAAAACAGGACCCGTTGTGAGCCCCCACGAGCCCAACAACACGGTCCAGTCCGATCTTGGATTGGACCAAAGCCACTGCCTTTAGCAATCTTATCACTAACCATAGTATATGATGGAAGTTGAAAAAAATAATGCAGTAACTATGCACGAGTTGTATTTATGATTATTTGTATGAGGAGATTTTAAATGCTGATAAGGAGATTTTGATTAAATCAATAAATGCAGGCATGTGGAAAGGCATGTGGATTGGAAAAAGTTAATAAATGTTTATTAGGAGATTTTGACCAAATCAATAAATGTTGAGGTTTTTTTTTTTTTAATAAAAAATTTAAAAAATTAAGATTGGGATAGTGGAGTGTATGAGAGAAGTTGAAAATAATACTACAGTAACTATGCACGGGTTGTATTTATGATTATTTGTGTAAGGGGATTTTAAATACTGATCAGGAGATTTTGACCAAATCAATAAATGCAGACATGTGAAAAGACATGTGAATTGAAAAAAAAATTAATAAATACTGATTAGGAGATTTTGACCAAATCAACAAATATTGAGATTTTTTTTTAAAAAAAAAAAATTAAAAATTAAAATTGAAATATTATTACTTTCACAAAGTTTGGGGGATTACAAACCCTTTTCCTTAATATATATTCAAAATTCAGGGTCAAATGTGTCACAATTGAAAAGTCATGGACCAAAGTGACACAAACCTCAAACTATAGGGACTATTTGTGTAATTTACCCTTATTTATATGAGGGGATTTTAAATGTTAATCGGGAATTTTGACCAAATCAATAAATGTAGGCATGTGGATTAGAAAAAATTAATAAATATTGATCAGGAAATTTTGACCAAATCAATAAATGCTGAGGTTTTTTTTTTTAAATCAAAAATTTTAAAAATTAAGATTAAGAGATTGGAGCTCCCATAAGGCTTCGGGTTTAGAAACCCTTTTTTTCTTAATATATTTACAATTATCTATATATGTGAATTGCGATTTTTAAATGTCTTTTTTTTTTTTAAATGTCTTCTTTTTTTCTTTTTTTTATATTATATTAAAGTTTAATATCTTGATAATAATTATATATGTTGGACTTTTCAAAAAATTAAATGTCTTCTTTTTTTATTATATTATATTAAAGTTTAATATTTTGATAATAATCATATGTGTTGGACTTTTCAAGAAATTTTTTTATGCTTGTTCTTAATGCATTAAAGTGTTATTATGAGGGATAATAATCATATGTGTTGGGACTTTTCAAGGAATTCATATGTGTTAGATTTCAAAGTGTTATTATGAGGGTAAGACTTGGGGGTTGAGAGAAGTTAATAAATGCTAAGTTTTTTTTTTTTTAATCAAAAAATCAGGAAATTTAGATTGGGAGATTGGAGCTCCCACAAAGCTTGGGGTTAAAAACCCTCTTTTGCTTAATATATAGTGTAGATAGATAGCCTATCATCCGTGCTATGCACGAGATAATTATAGATATTTATATTTATTTTAGATTTTTTTTAATATATAAATTATGTTTTTTTAACATTTTTTATAAAAATAATTTAACAATCTTATCACTAACCATAGTGCATGGGAGAAGTTGAAAGGGGTACTGCAATAACTATACACGGATTGTATCTATAATTATTTGTATGAGTAGATTTTAAATGCTAATCAGGGGACTTTAACCAAATCAATAAATGCAGGCATGTGGAAAGACATGTGAATTAAAAAAAATTAATAAATGCTGATCAGAAAATTTTGACCAAATCAATAAATGTTAAGTTTTTTTTACAATTTTTTATTACACATTTTTCCATAAAAAGTCAAAAAGTTAACCCAAACATTCATATTTTCAACCTCAACTTTTTAGTCTAAAAAGACAAAAAGTGCACTTATTTAGTCTTCCCAAACTTAGCCTTAATATATAATATAGATCACCTTCTATAATCCACGCCAAACACCCTCACAATCTAGCTATAGTAATACAAAGGTAACCCCAAAGAGAGCATCCCCCTAATGTCAAACCCTACCATGCGAAAAATAGGTGCCTTATCCACATTACTACAAACCGTCGTTAAACGGCTTGTATAACATCAAACTTTTTGGCTTTTACAAGGTAATGAAAAATGCAATGCTAGCTAGCGACCAAAAAAATTGAAAACTTCTAGTAATCCAGATATAAAAAATCAGAAAGAATCTAATATTTGAAATCAAGAATATTAATTTGATATTCTGAGATATTTTATGGGGTTTTTTTTCATGATCCATAGATTTTTCCAAATAAATTAGGGTCAGGATTTCCTTCCATCCAGATCTGGACTGAAGGGAGACGTTTGGATCTATCGAATTTTTATGGTCTCATTTTAATAATTTAAAAGACAAATTACATATACCTCCCTTGAGGTTTGGCTAAATTACAAATACTCCTGAGATTTCGGAAATTACATCCCGCCTTCTAAGGTTTGTATTTTCATAATAATTTGCCCCCTGAAGTTTAAATTTCATAACAAATTATCCCCTAATTTATTATGCAAATATAACATTCAGGAAAGAATTTGTAATTTTTCAAACCTCAGAGGGGTATTTGTAATTTAGCCAAACCTCGAGGGGTATATGTAATTTGTCCTAATTTTTTAAATCATCAATTTTATAATACATTTCATGTATATCATTCACACAAAAATTAAATAAATTCAATAATCATAATCTGTTCAATTAATTATATTTTTATCAAAAAATAAATAGTTTATTTTTGAAAATATAATTATTATCTATGTTTTTGAGATAAATGTAATAAATAGAATATGTTACGATTATCAAATCAATCTAATTATTTTATAAATAACATATATTAAAAACTCTACAAAACGAATAGTTTAGTATATCATCAAAATAGAAGATGTGGTGGTTTCACAAGCTCAGACAATACCCTTGAATCCATAGAAAGCCTATCCCAAAAAATTATCGTTTGTGTAAAATTTTTAATAATTTTTTTTTATTATTTAAATTTTTGGGTCTTCAGAGTATTGTGTATGATTTTTAAAATATTCTGAAACATGAAAATGTAATCCAAAATTTGTATCAATACTAGTAGGTGTACAATTTATATTTTTAGATTTTAAATTTAAATTAATGAAATGTGAGCCATACTTATTTATTGATTTAATATTTTAAATAATTTTTCTTAAAGTCTCGTATCGTTAGAAATAGGGAGTGTTTGGAAAGTCACTTTTTAGATTTTTTTATTTTGATTAAAATAACATTAAATATAAAATAAATTAAAATAATTAATATAATAAAATATTACGTTAAACTCATAATCATTTTTTTTTTTTTCATAAATATCATATTTAATTAAAAAAATCTAATTTTCTTTCGAATATAACTATTCTAACTTATTAAAATAATCAAAGATTAAAATAACCAATTTTCCAAACAACTCCAACATGTGAAAAATGAAAGAGAGTTGAAACAAAAAAAATTGAGCCACCCATCCAAAGCGATAATGTATCTAATAAGTGGTGCGTGGCAACTCTATAAAAATTTCATGAGTTCCATAAAACTTTAAATTTATACAAGAATTAGCATTTGGCCCTTTAATATCTAAATAATTTCACTTCACCCCCCAAAACTTCATAAAAAGCGCATTAACCCCACTAGAAATCAGAATATTTCTAACAAAAAAAATTAGGCAAACATACCTTTGAAAGGAAGGTCGCCAGATTCAATGAGTTGAGGGATGCAAAAGTAAGCCCAGAAAGCACAAGCGCTGATTGTTCGGAAGTAAACGATTGGAATACCCATCTCTTCAGCAACATCGATTGTAAAACTCAGTACCCCATCTGCTATGATGCACGTTACTGGCCGAGTCGACTCGTAGCTCAGTCGATTAGAGCAAAACAATTCTCTGAAAAGCGGTTTTATTACGGTTCTCAAAGAATCAATCAATTCTGTTAGAAAATCAGAGCCGGATCTGGAGCTCTCGGTTGGGATTCCATCGGAAATCGTTTCGAAACGGAATCGAGGATAGTGTTCGAAACGTCTGTGAACGTTTGTTTGACGGAGGAGGCGATTGTGGATGTGATCGGAGACGAGGAAGGTGACGTGGAAGTCGGAGAGGCAGAGAAGCTCGGCGAGCTTTAGCATGGAGTTTACATGGCCTTGTGCTGGGAGGGGGAAGATGAGTACATGTGGTGGTGTGAGTGTTTGCACTGGATCATCCATTTCAATACCACTACATCTACTAATATATCAACTCTATTTTGACGAGAGAGAGAGAGAGAGAGAGAGAGAGAGAGAGAGAGAGAATAGGGGATAATTGGAGCTCCCCTCTGCGATTGATTCAGAAATGGAACTTGGAATATATGTGTTGCTTTTGCTTTTGGTAAATGTTATTAACAAAAATAAACATAAATTGGAAACCAAATTCTTATGAAAATAGAAAATTAATGGCCTTGTTTGGTTTGTATTTCTCAACAAATTTTGAGAAAAATTCTTTACAAATAAATTTTTAAAAGTAATCAAACCAAACAAATTTTTTCAAAATTCTTTTTCAAAACTTATTTGGTTTACAAATTTTCTAAACAAATCTCTCTTTCATACACATCAATGCTGTGTTTGGTTGGAATTTTTGGGGTGGGATTTGGAAAAGGAATGAGAAATGTAATCCTATTTATGTTTAGTTATAATAAAAAATATATGAGAAAAGAAAGGGGGTGAGAAATAAATAAAGAAATAGGAGACCTTTTAGGACATCAATTATATTTTATAACCAACACAACCAAACATAGTTGAGATTTGGAATTCTATTAATTCTTTCTCCTTTTCCTTTCATTTCCATTTCCCTTCTTAAATCCCCTAACCAAACACAGCGCAAATCAATCACTTTTTCCAAAACTCTCACTCAAAATAATTTTTTAAAATATCTTTTAAAAAAATACCAAACTAAACAAATTTTCGTACTTTTTATCTCAAAATATGTTTCTCAAATACAAACCAAATAAGGCCAATATTTACCTTCTGTCTACAAACTATAAGAAAGTTATATGCCTATTTCTAAAAATACTAGAGAATAAAATGTAATTTGTCTATTTTTTTTTTTTCGTTTTTCACTTTTTTTTTTTTTTTTTTTTGATATTTTTACAAGATAAAATTACATTGGAATGTTATTCATTTTTTAATTTTTTTTTACTAAATTAGTTTTAACTTTTAAAAAAAAAACTAAATTCTAAAGAGACTGTTAAATTTGACCTTTTAGTTCAAAATAAAATGAAATTAACGTAGATTACACTCAATTAATTTAAAATTTCAAAGAGTAATGTTATATAAATAAAAAAAAATCATACTTAATGATGTGATTTATTGTGAACTTTTCATTTCAAATTTATGAATTTTATGTATGATTATAATTCCTTCCAAAAAATATATAATAAATATAAATCTTCTTTTAAAGAGTTTTTTTTCTATCCAACTCATATTGTTTTTGACTATTTTATTATGTCCTATTTGAGGTAAGAAGATCAAAGCACTCTCAATCTTTCAAGCCCTCTATTAATGTTGATATTTAATATTGATTGTTTTGGTAGTTTCTATGCATCGATTGTCATTATATTCATATTAATTTAAAATGAATTTTTATCATTGTATTGTCAATTACATGATGTGAATATTCACATGTTGTAATTAAAATGAATATTCACATCATTATATTCACATTAATTTGAAATGAATTTTTGTTATTGTGTTGTCAATTACATGATGTGAATATTCATACTAAAACATACGAATGTGAACGTTCACATCACTACATGTGGTGAATAAGAATATGTTGTCGATTAAAAATAAGAAGGTTCACATGTTGTGAATGTTCATATCACTGCATTAGATGAGAGAGAATTTTTCAAAAATGTGTTGTGAATGCTCACATCGAATGAGAGATAATGTTCACATTATTTTTAATGTATTGTCAATTAAAAATATATTCATATTATATATTAATAAAAAATAATAATATCAATGTTATTTAATTTGTGTGTGAAATTTTCTATATGTTGGTCCTTTCCCTTCACACTCCTCCCCTTAACATTGAATATCAATATTAAATATCAGGGTACAAGAGTCTAAGAAAATAATATAAATCAAGAAAAATGACTTTATAGAATAAAAGTATAAATACATGAGACTAAGTGGGTTAAAAAATTCATTCATGGACTTGTTGGATTAGAACACTTCTAAATGAGATTTATCAATAAAAATCCCTAAATTTTTATAAATTTGACATAATTAATTCACTTAAAATTCTAATTCACATAGCACTTTATTTTTATGAATAATTTATTAGTCATACGGATGAAATTATGATATTGTCACATCTTATACATTGAATTGTATTCTTTTATCTTGTTCATCAACATAATTACGTGTTAAAATTATATGATTTGTTGTATTTTTTTTTTAAATTTAGAAGAAATCAATATAATTTATCCACAATCATATCGGAAATATCTGGATTTTTTTTAATGAAAATTTACATACATAGTGAATAACTTGTTGGAAAATTAGCATTGTAGTTCGTGTGAAATTAAATAAAATGTGCACAGGAAAAAAAAATTGTAGAAATAATTTTAAAAGACAAAAAAAATCTGAAAATAGATAAACATTCATATTTACAAATGAGAACAGAATAAATGCAGAAACAAAGTTTGAAAATTAGTTGAAACTTGTATTTGAACACAACAGATTTTGCTCTAGTTATTTTACAGGCATCACTGTGGCAAAACGAAACAAATGTTGGACTCTCTCTCTCTCTCTCTCAAAACTATGCACTCAAAAAAATGCAAAAATAGAAGGACAAAAAACAAGAAGAAATAAGAAAAAATAGAGAGCGAGTATCGAATGCCTAAATTGGTCGATGGGGAGGACCAAGGTTTTAAATATCGGCCGGTACGTTCTGTACCGGCTGGTTCGTACCGGAAAATGGAAGGGCCGAGTCGGATACTCACCGGTATACCGGCGAGAATGAATTTCACGGCCGTATCGGCCGATTCCCGACACGTATCGGCCCGAATCCGATACGTAAACGATTTGTCTCCGATACATTCCGATACGGCTGAAATTCACCTGCAAAAATAGTTGAGAAAAGCAAAACAAAGCTGAAGAAGTGATGCTCTGTTTTTCTTCTGTTTGTTGATGCTCTGTTTTTCTCTTTCTTTAAGCTAAAGAAGTGATGCTCTGTTTTTTTTTTCTGTTTGTTGAAGTCATCGGTTTGGATGCCTTTAGCTCAACTCTTTTTGGATTGAGGATGTTGAGGATGATTGAGGATGATTGCTCTCCTTTTGTTTTTAGAATTCCGTTCTTTCATCTTGCGCGTAAACATTGTGCTGGTCAAGCCAAGTCGCCACCTTCTAAAGCTTGATGATCATTGATGATGATGATGATGATGGGTTGAGTACATCAAGTGTTTGATTAGGATTTAGTTATAATTAATAAATTAGACGATTAGGTTTTGTTTTTGCTTTTTATTTTTTTAGGTTAGGTCCTTTAGTACTTGTTCAGTTTTGTTTCCTCCATTTGAATTAATAAATAAAGATGTTATTTTATTTCTTTTTCTTTTTCTTTTTTGCTTATCTTTTATTGTTATTTATTTGCTTTCTTTTTGCGTTGTTTCATAAGCAGTTTCATAATGCTACATCTACTTGAAATTTTACAAGCAATTCTACTAAAAGCATCATTTTCCAAATTTTATTATTTTTTTTAAGCTCTAAAATCCAAAAATTATTGGAGGTTTAAATATTATTGGAGTTAAAACAAACCATCTACTAAAAGGTTTAAATATTATTGTTTTTTATTAGTATGTGTAGAATTATTCTACACATTATTCTATATTAATTTAAAATTTTATTAACAATTCATAAAGCCAATTGTTCCATTTATTTTAACTAAAATAATGTTTTAAAAAAAAAAAAACTAAATTCTAAAGAGACTGTTAAATTTGACTTTTGAGTTCAAAATAAAATGAAATTAACGCAGATTACACTCAATTAATCTAAAATTTCAAAGAGTAATGTTATATAAATAAAAAAAATTCATACTAAATGATGTGATTTATTGTAAATTTTTCATTTCAAATTTATGAATTTTATGTATGATTATAATTCCTTTCAAAAAATATATAATAAATATAAATCTTCTTTCTAAGAGTTTTTTTTCTATCCAACTCATATTCTTTTTTACTATTTCATTAGGTCCTATTTGAGATAAGAAGATCAGCACTCTCAATCTCTCAAGCCCTCTATTAATGTTGATATTTAATGTTGATTGTTTTGGTAGTTTCCATGCATCAGGATGTTGATTGTCATTATATTCATATTAATTTGAAATGAATTTTTATCATTGTATTGTCAATTACATGATGTGAATATACACATCATGTAATTAAAATGAATATTCACATCATTGTATTCACATTAATTTGAAATGAATTTTTGTTATTGTGTTGTCAATTACATGATGTGAATATTCATACTAAAACATACGAATGTGAACGTTCACATCACTACATGTGATAAATAAGAATATGTTGTCAATTAAAAATATAATAAACGTTATTTTTGATATGCTGTCAATTAAAAATAAGAAGGTTCATATGTTGTGAATGTTCATATCACTACATTAGATGAGAGAGAATTTTTCAAAAATGTGTTGTGAATGCTCACATCGAATGAGAGATAATGTTCACATTATTTTTAATGTGTTGTCAATTAAAAATATATTCACATTATATATTAATAAAAAATAATAATATCAATGTTATTTAATTTGTGTATGAAATTTTCTATATGTTGGTCCTTTCCCTTCACACTCCTCCCCTTAACATTAAATATCAATATTAAATATAAGGGTATAAGAGTCTAAGAAAATAATGTAAATCAAGAAAAATGACTTTATGGAATAAAAGTATAAATACATGAGACTAAGTGGGTTAAAAAATTCATTCATGGACTTGTTGGGTTAGAATACTTCTAAATGAGATTTATCAATAAAAATCCCTAAATTTTTATAAATTTGACATAATTAATTCACTTAAAATTCTAATTCACATAGCACTTTATTTTTATGAATAATTTATTAGTCATACGGATGAAATAATGATATTGTCACATCTTATATATTGAATTGTATTCTTTTATCTTGTTCATCAACATAATTACGTGTTAAAATTATAGGATTTGTTGTATTTTTTTTAAATTTAGAAGAAATCAATATAATTTATCCAAAATCATATTGGAAATATCTGGAATTTTTTTTAATGAAAATTTACATACATAGTGAATAACTTGTTGGAATTAGCA